TGAAGGAGAATATTATAATGAAGATGAGTTAATGAAAGAGTAACTTTAACTGACGAGCAATGGATACAATATTGTTAGCATTGAGAGTAAAAAATAAAAGGAGTATTTCCAAATGACGGTAGAACTGTAACCTTCATTTTATGCTAGCAATATAAAGTATAGCGCAGGCGACTAAGAGGGATCAGTCCGTAATTCTAGGAGTCTCACTGTCGTTACTATGCCCGTTGCGGTATTATACTAGAGTTAGAGTTAGAGTTGCTGCGAGGCTGCCCTGTGTTACATTGAGATGGGTATGGGTTATCATGTAATTAGGCCCTTACGTTATACAGGTGTGGTAATTGTGACGGGAACACGTTACGGTTCGTCGAGCTGTATTGCTTGCTCTATGCCGATGTAAGATGCAGTGCGTTGTTTTGTTGAACAGAAACAGAACAGAAACTTTTTTATTCAATATAGATTATAAATAATACTTATTGAAAGTCACTCTTTTGTATAATTACAACTGTTTCGAAAAAAAACCTCTGTACTGGGAAGAACCAGCAAGAAACCCAGCGGGACTTTTTTTTTAAATAACAGCTTATAATCATGTATGTTACACAAATTAACAATACAACAAATTAGAAATAGCTTGGTAGCAATTACCTTATTTTCAGGGGTTATTATCATCTATAAATTGTATAATATTATAATAACCCTTTTTATACAAACTTAGTTTAATAAAGATTTTGAACTTTGAGCAGGTCAAATATTGTATATGTTCTGGAATTTTGTTGTAAAAGCGTATACATCGCCGATACTAGTACCAGTTATTCGACTCGATGGAGTCGAGTAACTGGTACTAGTAGCTTGTGTCTGTTCCTAGTATTTACAGAATGAACATCACTTATTTTTGTAAAACTGCTTTTATTTTTGTGTACGTACATTACATTTTCATAAATGTCTTGAGAGGCGAAAGTAAATAAATTTTTGTTGCAGCGATTCTTTAGGCTTTAAATCATAAATTCCTCTTATGGCCCTCTTCTGTAAAACAAATAAAATTTCAGTGTCAGCTGCGTGTCCCCATAGCAAAATACCATACGATATTATGCTATGGAAATAGTAATATCTTTAGTAGTAATATCTTTAGTAGGACAATTTGAAGAGAATCGAGTAAAATTATACCGTTTTCGGTACTCATGCGCCGAATCTTCCTGGTACTATAAATTAAAACGACTTTTAATTGTCATTATGAATTACCAGAACATACTTTGGAATGGAGCCGTGGTAGCTTAGATGGTTAGCGTTCGCTGTAAATTTCACAGTACGCGACCAACCCGGGTTCGATCCCCGCCGGCACCAATAAAGTTGTTAATTGCAATTCTAAGTGCTGATTTACCACGTGCTCGGTGGTGAAGGAAAACATCGTGAGGAAACCTGCATGTCTAGAAATAAGAAAAATATATATTTCCGAAGACATGCGAAGTTCGCCAACACGCATTGGGGCAACGCTGCGGTCATTTCCTTGCCCTAAAACCCTCTCAGTAATGAGAGGAGGCCTGTCCCCAGCAGTAGGACGTATATAGGCTGTAACTTTAACTTTTTAACTTTACATTTGGATTGCACTTGTATAAAGTAAAAATAATTCGATTTTTAAACTCTTGTACGATGAGATGTCAAAAAGTTTGCGGACTAAAAGGGAAAGTAGGTGAAATTAAACATGAAATTATTTTTCTTTTTCGATGTATTCTCCATTAACCCTAATATACATCTCAGACCGTTCTAATAACTTATACCGTCGAAAAAAATTTTCACTTCTTCGTCATTTGTAAATTTCTTTCTCCGATGTTCTTCTTTCATATTTGGGAACAAAATAAAAGTCCAAAGGGGCCTAATCTAGAAATCTGGGTAAGGAAGCCATTGCAACAAGAATTGTGATCGGGTCGTGCAAAAAGAACACAGCTCGAGACAACAGTGGTAGAGCCACGTGGCAGCTTTTGCTGTCGCACGGATGGGCCGGCTTGAACCGGGGTGGTACCACGACCTCACAGAAAACCAGCGTGAAGTAGAGGTTTACTTCTGCGTTTCGCTTGGTGAGTGCAGGTGGCCGGAGGCCCTTTTTACTGGAAATGAGGCATTCCATCTTAGTCCTCACGGGTGACAACGCATCTACATTTTGATTTGTAATAGAGGATAGATGTAGATGTCTATGGGCCGCAGCAACCACTTACCATCAGGTGGACTGTGTGCTCGTTTGTCACCTTTTTCATATAAAAAAAAATTCTCTTTCTTTTTCTTTAAATTGTATCTTATAATCTACTTAGTAGAATTCTCGTAGAATTTCAAAAAAATGAAACCATAATCTTTCCAGCGGATAGTGATATCTTGAACTTCTTAGACGGTGCTGCGCGTTTTTTTATGCCACTACATTTTTTTTTATAGAAATAGGGTGACAAACGAGCACACAGTCCACCTAATGGTAAGTGGTTGTTGTGACCCATAGACATCTACATTTATCCTCGTTTGCGAATCAAAATGTAGATGCATTGTCAGCCGTGAGGACTAAGATAGAATGCCTCTTTTCCAGTAAAATGGGTCTCCGGTTCTCTACACTCACCATACGAAACACAGCAGTGCTAAACTGCTATTTTACGCTGGTATTCTGTGAGAGCGTGGTCCTTCCCTGGTCGAGCCGACCCATTCGTGCTACAACTATAATACTAATATAGCTGCAGCATGGCTCTACCACGTATAAATACGTATATGGACTCCTGCTTTATTCAGATTCATAATGATGGACCCAAGTTTTCCAGTCACAGTTCGGTTCATAATTTTGTCCCTATTCTCACTCACTACGCAGGTCCAAAACTCGCGCGTACACGCGGTGTGAGCATTCTTGGCACCTATCTTGCACTGACCTTAGACATGTCAAGATGGCCACGAAGAATGTTTAAAACGGTCGTAGATGATTTAAGCATTCTCTTTTTTCAAACGATTTTTTCATCTTTTATCTACAATGTATGAGGAAGTTGCTTTTCGTTTGTTGCTGATCGTTTTCAATTGAGTCTCTGCCTTGCTTGAAAAGGCTAGTGTCTCCGTAAACAGATGACATCTCTTCCATAATCTTTTCATAATTACCCGAATCCACCTTACTTGTTTAACCATCGGTTAACATTTCTTCGCTACCACTGTGTATAATCGGTGTAAAAGTTAGAGGAAAACTGACTAAGGAGTTGTGCGTTAGCATCTTCAGCACAGCACCTTAATAAAATACAGTGCTTGCTTACCCGCTTGCATAGCGTGGCAACAATGGCATATATCCTCTCTATGAAAGCTAGCATTACAACCTTATGTAATTAACCGTCAAATATGAACCTGAAGCCGCGCAATTTTCTATAATTGGCAACGACTAGTGCTTTAGAATCACATGAACGAAGAAGTAGGGTAACCAAGTACACTAAAACACCAGCAAAAAATTATTTTATTATTATTTAAACGTGGTAGAGCCATGCTGCAGCTATCAGTTGTATAGTTGTAGCACGAATGGGTCGGCTCGACCGGGGAACGACCACGCTCTCACAGAATACCAGCGTAAAATAGCAGCTTAACACTACTGTGTTTCTTACGGTGAGTATAGAGATACGAAGACCATTTTTACTGGAAAAAAGGCATTCCATCTTAGTCCTCACGGCTGACAACGCATCTGTGAGTAATTATTGTACGTTGTTTAATTAATACCTTTAATTAATACCCAAAAATTTAGATTATCAAGGTATCCGAACGTGAGTAGACCTTTTTTGCTGGTGACTAGGCAGACCTTAGTTCTCAGGGGTGACAACGCATCTGTATTTTGATTCTTAATCAATCCACTTACCATCAGGTACACTATGTGAAAGAAAGAAAGACTTTATTTTGTCCCAGACAAATTGACGTATATACTAATGTACGATAAAAAACGAAATCGAATAAATCAAATCAAATCAAATATCTTTAAAGTTGGCAAAAAATTATGCTTCGCTCGATGTACGCGAAATAATTTTTTGTCAACTTTAATATAATGGAATTCCGCAAAGTAACGCCTGATTCCATTAATTATCACGTAAACTTTAAACAAAGTACTTATGAACGTCAGTATGCATATAATATTAATTGTTACTTAGTGTTAACACTAGTCGTGCAAAAAAGTTAGTCACGACGAAATAAATCTTTGGCTAATTTATGTTCAGTACAACTTATTAAATTTTGAGATTGTGTTAAACTGAAAGACATCAAGACCAAGAATCTTCCTTCATCTAGAATGTAGTCGTTGACTGTGTAATATGCTTTCTTTATGAGTGACTCTTTTACGTAATTTTGAAAAATGTTTAAAGTTACGTTCACTTTCTCTTTAAGTATCTTGGCAAAGGAGTTGCTTACCTTCTTCAGTCTAAGGAAGGAATCACTAATTTATGCCTATTTCTTTCGTTGATTTTATGAATGTCACCTTTTATTCTAAATAATGAAATATTTTTATATACAAAGATAATGTTCGAATAGACATATTGTGAAGCTATATGTAAATTTGTTACTTATTAATATATTTTATTTAATACATTTGGCTTTGTACGTCGAAAACGTGCCAAAAATGTTCACTATTCAGCTTGAGTTGTCACGACACCGCAACGCCGATTTACAGTAACAACTAACAAACGAAACCAAAAAAAAAAATACAAGTATTCGTTATTCGGAGTTGTTGCTGTATCCACCGAGCTAGTAATGCGTAGCCGTCATGCATGTTCATACGTCTATCCTATTTGTAAAGCTGGTAACAAACATAACAATATGTGTACAAAGAAAAACAAAAAGAAAAAAAGAACAAATTACAAATACAATGAGTGAAAAGGTGATAAATATGCACGTTTGTCAACGTCATCATTACACACCAATCAGCTGATCGCATTATAAATATGTCCCGGTCAAACCGGCACCATGGCTACCGTGTACACGCACACTATTACCGTACCACACGCTGTTGGCGCACCGCCACTGTGAGAATCGGTAGTGTAGTGTATTTTGTAGCGTGTGATTTTATCGGAAAGTTATCATCGATGTATTCCCGATAAAACGTTTGTAATCGAACATATCATATCTCAATAATGTAATATGCGACTTAAAACCACCGCGGATCTCGGTTAGCAAAGTTGCAATGTGTTCTGGTGTAAGTAGTTACTGAAGATTGCGTTAAGATGGGAAAAAATCAGCCATGGATAACTCCGTTCAAAAAACAGGTATGTTATTTATTTAATTTCCAATTTAATGTCTTTTTTTGTGTTTGAGTCACGCTGCAGATATATTATGGTTGTAGCACGAATTGGTCAACCGGGGAAGGACCACGGTCTCACAGAATGCAAGCTTAATGCTGCTGTGTTACGTATTGTGTTTGTTAAGAACCGTATACCATTTTTACTGGAAACGAGGCATGCTTAGGGGTTGGTTATATATAAAAAAAATGCGAGATCCTTTCATTGCGAGTTTCTAACACGAATAATTTTGGAAGAACCTTCATATCTTATTTTATTCATTTTATATATTAAGTATTTTAAACAACAATCTAATCTGGTGGTAAGCTGTGAGGAAGCCCTAGATCTAGATGATCATTGTCTCAGCGTAACAAAAAAACATAACTTATATGAATCCGTTGAAACAAGGAACCCTTATAATTTCATTCTCTTCGTCTGTATTAATATCTGTCACAAAGTTTTTGACGACATTTGATTAGAATTTAAAAGTAGGTATATATTCTTTTTATTTTTATTTTATTTCTTTAAGAACAGCCAGAGGTAAAAACAATAACGCATGTTCACAAAAAATAATACATAAGCTTAATTTTTAAATGTAAAACCTATTAAAGGCAGCCACAACATGCTTCACAAGAAGAGTAAACACTTTATAACATAAACTAGCTGTTCCCCGCGACTTCGCCCGGGTGTTATTTGGGGTTTAAATTTTTTTGCGCGGAACCCTAATTATTTTTCTAAAATTAAAAAATCCTAAGTTACTCCTTGCGACATTAGCTATCTGCCAGTGAAAATCCCGTCAAAATCGGTCCAGCCGTTTCGGATATTAGCCGTAACAAACAGACAGACAGACAGACGGACAGACAGACAAAAACTTTAAAAATTGTATTTTTGTTATTAGTACCGTATATACTTTCATATGCATTTAGTGAAAAGCTGTAATTTTGACATTACAAACAGACACTTCAATTTTATAATATTAGAAACATAACCTAAAAATTAATCAAAAACCGAGAAATACCAAAAATATTTAAAAAAATATATAAACTAATAAACTGAGACACCTTAAAACAATACAGGGGAAAAATCACAATAACCAATTAAACCTAATAAACAAAATTAATACATATCGAACTCTTAAATATTATCTCTTAAGTTCTGTAGCACTGTTTTTTTTTTAAAACAGGACAAATAATTGCTAAAAGTGTTCACAGAATCCGACATCAAATTCAGCAAACGTGACATTCTAGCGAAACTATTGTTATGACCTTCTTATTCTATTCGACATATTATCTCTCAATTAGGAGAACAGAAAATGTTGCTAATATATTCTTAATGTACTCGTTATTTGCTATATGTAATAATGAGTTGTTATTTTTGTCCATATTAAGATTTGTTATCATTTTGATGTTTCGTATACACTTTTTAATAGCAACGGATCAGTAAGCTGAAGTGGCATATATCGAGGAACCGAGGACAACTGGTTATCGAGCCAGCGGCTAGGGAGCTAGGGACTTTGCTTTCTAGCATTCCTTGGAATACTAAGAAATTTAAATTTGAACCAACATAAACTAGTAATCATCAGTACAAAGAGTCAGTGATGTATGTAGTAATGAAAGTTTAAATTAGCCCAGAAACAATAAGTTGTTGGTATGAACTCCCATGTGTTATCAAATAAAACAATTTCGATTACATCATATCACTTTTATTTTAATCTGTTCATAACTCACAACTAAGTGTCGTATACATAACGTCTTTTTATTTAGTAGTTTTTTTTTACTCATATATAAAGGGCTTTGTCGCTGATGCGATTATGCCGCCCTGGTAGTTACAAAAAAAATCTTAAATATAATTACTAACAAGTAAACTTATTATGTTTACTAGTTACTTAATCTCTTATTAACTAACAAATAGTTAAGTAAGTTAACAAGTAGTAGTTTTTTGGCATCATCTGATAACGGGTCCGATAGAATACTATTACTACTACCAATTAAGGACAAATGTAAATTACTATTTAGTACTTGCACTCCACTTTACACAAACACTCAAGTCTCTTATACTCTTAACTATAACCAAATGAATCCGGTTTAGGTCGTGACAGCCATTTTTATATTTTCTTTAAGGAGTCAAATCCGAAACTATTACAATAAAAATCTTACCGGGAATTCCAACATACAAAAGTGGAAATCCGATTTATATTTATTAAAGTTAAAGTAATATTAGGGTCATTCAATATATGTTTAATTGTTCTTTATAAATAATTGGTAACACGTGTTTCGGAAAGCACATAAAGCGGTGCGCTTCTGCGCTTGATCTCTCTCCGGTTGCGTCGGATTTCCGTCTCATCGGACTATAAGAGTGAGAGCATGGATAGTGTACTTGTGTTTGCGCACACACTCGTGCACTAAGTCTCTGTTGAGACTGGCCGCCGTAACCTAAACTCAGTTTGAAGGACATTAATGAAAATCACAGAACATAACAGAGTTATCTGTTGCCTAATTTTACGTTCACCATGAACATCGGCAACACTATAAGATTTTTTTTTAAATGTTACCCTCTCAGAAAAAAGAAAGAAGTATGCTCTTTTCTTGAAAGTACCTAAGTAGTTTCTGTACGGGAAAACCTATAGGTTCGAATCTTCTACAAATTAATATTAGAAGAGAAAATTTTATAACCTCTTTAGCATATTATTCCGAGCACAGACGTGTATGAGATTTGGCACAGTTAAAGTTTATGTGGAGAAGGAGTGCAGAAAGCTATATTTTATATTTAATATATTGTTTTATAGAATAAAAGTGACAAACGAGCACACAGTACACCTTTTTTTATATAGAAGAGGGGGCAAACGAGCATGCGGCTCACTTGATGGTAAGTGACTACCGCCGCCCATGAACAACCGCAACACCAGGGGAATTGCAGATGCGTTGCCGGTCTTTTAGAAAGGTGTAAGCTCTTTTCTTGAAGGTTCCTAAGTCGTATCGGTCCGGAAAATACGCTGGTGGTAATTGATTCCACAAGGAAGTTGTGCGAGGGAGAAAACTTCTTCTAAATCGCACAGTGGTGGACCGCCAATCATCCAGATGGTATGGATGGTAACGCGAGTTTTGTCGCGATGTTCGATGGTGAAATTGAGCGGCTGGAATTAGTCCGAACAATTCCTCAGAGCACTCCCCGTGATAGATGCGATAAAATACGCAAAGAGATGCAACATCTCTACGCAGTGCCAGTGTATCGAGCCGATCAGAAAGAACTCGGTCGTCGACGATTCGAACCGCTCTGCGTTGGATGCGGCCAAGTGGAAGGAGCTGGCACTGGGGTGCCCCGGCCCAGAGATGAGAATAGTATTCCATGTGGGGCCGAACTTGCGCTTTGTAAAGTTGCAAGCGGTGCCGGCATGAAATACTGTCTCGCTCTGCTGAGCACGCCAAGCTTTTTAGAGGCCAATTTGGCCTTCCCTTCCAAGTGACCACGAAACTGCACACTATTCGATATGTCGACGCCAAGGATTCCGATACTAGCTGAGGCAGCAAGGGGAGTGCCTTGAAACTGAGGAGATACGACAAAGGGGTTCTTTTTAGCGGTAAACGCGCAAACTTGTGTCTTCTGGGGATTGATCTGGACTAGATTTAGTCGGCCCCAATCCGAGACTTTGTTAAGCAAAGACTCGACTTCAGACACAAGTTTGTCCCGGTACTCAGCGACGTTTTCCCGAGAAATATTGGCACGGCCGGTATTTAAGGCATCACAAGGTGCTGTCGTCTGCATAGCAATGAATGCTACCTTGGTGATAGCACGCAGCCTTGTGGACACCAGCGTTGATAGGCTTGAAATCAGAGCATGCACCGTCTACTATGACCTTGATGCTCCGATCAGCAAGAAAACTGGTGATCCATTTGCACAATTTCTCGGGAAGCCCATAGGAAGGAAGCTTCGAAAGAAGCGCTTTGTGCCAGATCCGATCGAAGGCCTTCGCTATGTCCAAACTAACGGCCAATGCCTCCCCCTTGGACTCTACTGCCTCCGCCCATCTATGAGTCAGATAGACTAGAAGATCACCATCTGATCGACCTCGACGAAAACCGTACTGGCGGTCACTAATCAGCTTGTGATCCTCAAGGTACCTCATGAGCTGGCAGTTTATAATGGATTCCATTATTTTGGAGAACAAGGAGGTGATGGCAATAGGCCTGTAGTTGGACGGGTCTGAGCGGTCGCCTTTTTTAGGGATCGGGTGGACCAGCTGCCTTCCAAGAATTCGGGACTCCGCCTTGGGAGTAGGAGTACCGGAAAATACGCGTTAAAGCCGGTGCCAACTCCGGAGCACACGTCTTCAGCACAATGGGAGGGACTCCATCGGGCCCACTCAACTTGCATACCACCACCTGATGGTAAGTGGTTGCTGTGGCCCATAGACATCTATATCTATCCTCGTTTGCGAATTAAAATGCAGATGCGTTGTCAGCCGTGAGAACTAACATAGAATGCCTCTTTTCCAGTAAAATGGGTTCTCTACATTCACCATACGAAACACAGCAGCATTAAGCTGCTATTTTACGCTGCTGCGAATTTCTTACAGAAAAATCCAGTAACTAATTTTGGCCCAACCAGAGATTTGAATCTGGGACTTTATGATCAGCAATCGCGTTTACGACCGCTACACCAACGAGGCAATTAAAAATACATAATAGTCTGTGGCCAAACAATCGCACAGAGTAGAGATTGTCGTCAAAGTATTTTAAAATGTTGCCAACAAATAATTACTACTTAATTATGTATGATTTCAAGTGTTCCTTTTTCAATTATCTCTAAAGTGTATGTCAAGGGAAAAGTGTTTATTTTATATTTTGTATATGAGATATCATTGTTTAACGTGCAGTTGAAAGGGAAATACAGCTTGCTTGTTAAAAAAAAAACTCTAAAATTAAATAATTACGGTCCAATTTCGACCACTACTATTTGTTAAACAAAGGCTGACCAGACTCGAATACTTA